GATTTCTTCCCTCTTTGGGATGGAACCATGAGGCGATGTTCATTCACAGAACGCAAGTTTCTAGAGGGCACATAAATCTGCAGAAGTGAGAGCAGATAAGAAGGGGCGCAGATAGAAATCGATTTGTAAGCAAACATCAGAGCTTTGAATTTGATGTGAGCAGCAACTGGCAGCCAGTGCAAACGGATGAGCAGCGGAGTGATGTGCTCTTTTAGGTTAATTGAAGACCACTCGTGCTGCTGCGTTCTGGAGCAGCTGAAGAGGCTTGATAGAGTTAGCTTGAAGCCCTACTAGTAGAGAGTTGCAATAATCCAGTTTGGAGAGAACAAGAGCTTGAACAAGGAGTTTGAACTGCATGTTCAGATAGGAAGGGTCGGATCTTTCTGATGTTATAGAGTGCGAATCTGCACGATCGAGCAGTTCTAGAAATGTGGACAGAGAAGTTTAGTTGGTCATCTATCGTTACTCCAAGGCTTTTCACCATTTTGGTTGCAGTAATGGTTGCCCAGTCCATCTGGATTGAAAAGTTATGATGTAGAGTCGAGTTGGCAGAAACTACAAGCATTTCCGTTTTCGCGAAGTTAAGCTGAAGATGATGATCTTTCATCCAGTGTAAAATGTCCAACAGGCAGGCTGAGATGCGAGCTGGAACCGAGGGATCATCAGGATGAAAAGAGAGGTATAGCTGGGTATCATCAGCATAGCAGTGGTAGGAGAATCCATGTTTCTGGATGACTGGTCCTAGAGATGTTGTGTAGATGGAGAAGAGAAGTGGCCCAAGAACAGAGCCTTGAGGTACCCCAGTGTTTAGATGCTGTAGGTAAGACACCTCTCCCCTCCAAGACACCTTGAATGACCTGTCAGAGAGGTAAGATCTGAACCATTGTATAACAGTGCCCGCAACGCCCAGTGATTTAAGCGTAGATAGCAGGATCTGGTGGTTTACAGTGTCAAAAGCAGCTGACAAATCCAGCAAGATGAGGACTGATGATTTTGAGTCTGCTTTAGCCAGTCTGAGATCCTCCACGACCGAGAGCAGGGCAGTCTCAGTTGAGTGGCCTTTCTTAAAGCCGGATTGCTTGTTGTCCATGAGATTGTTTTGAGTAAGAAAGTCCAGGACTTGATTGAACACTACTTTCTCCAGAATCTTGGCCATGAATGGAAGCAGGGATACCGGTCTGTAGTTTTCAAGTAGCGTATTGTCCAGGTTGGGTTTCTTTAGCAGTGGGGTTACCCTAGCCTGCTTAAATGAAGTGGGGAATAAACCAGAGTCAAGAGATGTGTTAATTATGTGAGTCAGTGTTGGTATGACTGCAGGAGAGATTTTTTTACAGTGTATAAGAGCAAAATAAACAAACCACAACATCAAATGTATATTTTTCTGCAGATTGAGGTGTTTATTTAGTAAATGTTACCATCAAAGCTCAATGTGAATGTTTTCTTATTGGATAAGATTTTATCCACATCAATTATGCAAATATAGATTTTTATGTGCATTTAATTATGTTATGCACATCTTGACTTTCCGTCTTTTTTGTATTCTCTAAGACATGATACTTAGAAATGTAAAAAAATAAGTACAAATTATTCATTAAAATGTTGAAAACAGAATTTCAATAATCAATAGTACAGCAGCAATTAAAAGCATCATCTAAAGACTCCATGATTAAGACAGCTTTGTGTGATTTTGCATGAAAATATAAATGATATACAACAAACATATTTGGCCTTTCTTTCACAATTCAAAAACATATCTTCTTGTGCAAATCTAAACCAGTCAAAACTTTTGTTTAGTTGTCATTATTTGCATCTAAACATTTTATAAAACAAAAAATATGTATGATTACAAATCAAGCTAAATGAATACTGAATAGAAAAGACTTTGATTATAATTCATTGTATTGTACATCATTGATTGTGGATATGCTATAGCAAGCTGAAGGGTTATTCACAACTTTCAACGGTTTAATTTTCTCAATTCGGCGGCACCTTTTCAACCTTTCTTTTCATTAACTCGAATTTACCTGACAGCCCACGGTTGACCAGTTCTTGTTTTATCTGAAACACAGATAGACAGACAGATCAAAATAGATTTTATTTGCATCAAACTTCACTTGTTATGAATGTCCATTAAAAATAAAACTCCCTGTTGACTTACTTGCTGCAGAACAGCCTCCAGGTTATCACTCTGTGTCAGGTCTAAAAACGATTTGATTTTAAATTGTGTTCCTATGATATTTTCTAAAAAGACACAAACATAATTAGACATTTGAACATACAGCAAACAAATTTACATGAAGTGTTAATTTTGTCAACGAAGACTCAACGAAGGCTTGACATTAACAGAAACTTCACAGTTCTGCTGCGCAAGTATGTAATCAATAAACAGCACAATGCAGTGGAATAGTTCATACATAATATAAATATTAATATTTGTCTTTGTTCCGTCAACATTAATGTGCTGTTCATTCATTAGATGAGTGGATCATAGTTTTCAAGTCGATTCAAGTTGAGGTTTATTGTCCTTTCACTACATGGATGGACATAGAGTGGAACGAAATGTGCCTTGCAAGAATGCGTTGCTAAATAAATAAGCAATCATGAAAATGAAGACAGCACTGGATGTAAGAGCTGTTTGAACATATACATTCTAATGGCGATCTAACTACAGACAATACAAGTAGTCTATACATGAGTCAGTACATTAACAAGTAAATGTTGTTTTCCTAGTCCTTGTAAGATGGAATTTAATTAAAGTGTTTGGTGCATATGGAGAGAAGAGCATTTCTACAGGTGGTTTGTCAGGCCCACTCACCTGTGTGAGGCACACTCAGAAATGCACAATGTTTTACAGAGATATAAAGTGATTGTAAGAAAGTTTCTGATGCATAGAGAAATGAAATAAAGTAGAAAAGATTTTTACAGGTGGTTTGTCAACACCACTGACCTGTGTGAGGCACACTCAGTCACGTTAATAGCAAAGAAGACTCCATTAAGTTTTTGTTTTTGTCAAGCTATAGTCAATGAGCCTTTTCGCCAATATTTTTGTTGACAAAATTAACCCTGATATAAAGCTTTAATAAATGTCTACCATATCCTTTGTTCGAGACGAAGGCCCAGCGACCGGGAACACCTACATTAGTGGTGTTCTTGAGGGTTTGGTAGTTAGTATCTGAATTAGGAATTACAAATTTGTTCACAGAGTTTATTGTGTCATATCCAGCCTACAAAACAATGAAAAACAAATGCTGAGTTGACATGAAGTGCAGAATGTCAATAAATCTAGTGATGTTTATTTTACCTTTACTTGCTCATAAAGCACCACATCACAGTCTCCAAAATTCATCAGAAAGAAGGTCCAGTTACCACCGGAAATTAAAACCACTTGGGACAGGATTGTCTGAAACAAAACAACATAACATCATATTTAAAAGATTATAGAGTCTGTATGTTTTATTTTTTATGCACATTCTGAATAACACATAAAAAAAAAACACTTTATGAAAAATTGTAATAAAAAACATATGCACACAGCTGAGCAGAACAAACTTTTTATCCAGTAAGAAAATGCGCATAAACTACATAAGAAACACATTTAGTGAACAAAATTCCAACATGCACATAAAAAATTGTGTGATTTTGTTTATAGTTTTTGTGATAACGAAAATGGGTGGACCGAGCACATTGTAAAACATCTGAAATGTTGTTTTGGTCAATCTAAAAAAATCCCTCAGCCAAAGTCTGTCAACACAGTGATTCAGTATTATTATTATTATTATTATTATTATTACTATTACCTCAAGTTCTGTCTGAATGGTCTGCACTCCCAAAGAGCATCTCACGCCCCCAAAAGCCATAATGTGTTCATTGCAATTCAGGTTCATTCTGTAAACATACCCCTATATACATTCCAGGAGAGCGCCAAACATGTCCCAGGAGCGTGTTTAGCAGTTTTTGTTTTTGCGAATCCACCAGAGGCCGCTGTGTATGCTTTTTGAGAATTTCAAATTTCTTTTGCGAGTGCCATTTGTGCTTGCTGTTCTCGCGTAAATCCTTTGGAGGCTGCTGTCAACTGACTGACTGAAAAAATAATCAATCGACTGATCCATCCACCTCCTTCCCAAAACCCAACCGATAGTGTTTTTAAAAGCATCGATTGACCAGAAAACACTCACTTCCCTAAACCCAACCGACAGTGTTTTCTAAAGCAATCCCGAAAAAGCCCTCTCGGTCACCTGATTTTTACCACAGTTTCAGATTTTACCTCATTCTCACCCCGTTATTCATTTGTTTATTTTATTTTTTGGTTTTTGTTTTACCTTCTTTCTGGAATCATTCTTCGTCAGACTCGAACCACATCGTCGTGGTCAACTCCGCTCCACGTCACAAGTCCACCGACGTACGCGGCAAGCCACAGGTAAAACTTGTAAAAGCCGTCCATACAGAGGGAAGCGTTCAGCTGGTAAGCACGAAAAGGAACAGCATCATACCGCTCCATAACATTAATTTTAAAGACGAAATGCAGCCATATGCTCCTCTGGCTACATAATTCACAATCTCCAGAAATGTATATAGGGCTACGTTTTCAGAATGAACCCATGTTGGTTTACTGTGTTTTATTTTTGTCTCAAGCAATTTTTTATAAAGAAAAAAGGCCCACAGAGGCTTGTCCTGAAGCAATTAAAATGTTTAATATTTGGCGCTAGTTCATCAGAAAGTGGCAAATTTGTTGCCTAAACACATTGGATGTAAACTCTGTAATATTCGTCAATGTTTTATGCGATATTTCAGTTTGAGGATTTCAGAATGAGTTTCATTTGTATCTTTGGATGGAAACATAGCTTGTGACCTTAAGTAAGCAAGTTAGTAAGTAAGTAAGAAAGTAAGCAAATAAATAAATAAATAAATAAATAAATAAATGTGTTTTACCGGATTTGGCTGAAGATTGTACCTCCAAGTGGCTACAAAGACCCAGGAAGCATTGAAGTTTGCTGGAAAGAAATTTTGGTTTATATCCTGAGTGGCGCGGTCGAGCACACTTCCACTTGTGTACTCCTGATATGAGTAAAAGCCAACGTAATATTCATCATAGTCATTAAAGATTCCAGAAATTAAATCATCTGTTCCTCCAAAGGGATTAGAGTCAGGTGTTAATGCTGGCGACAATGTGAATGTTAGTAGTCCATTATAAAAAACCTGTAATACAAGAAATCAGTTTACGTTTAGCCATTATTAAAACTAGATAATCACTGCATTTGCATTCACACTCTGACTTGCAACGGAACTGAATTCTTACATTTAAGCTGTTGTACGTGTGGCCAAAGAATGTAAATGGGGCTGAAAGGGCAACAGGATATGAGCCGTCATAGCCAGGATGTTCAGTGTCTCCTACAGCCAAGCCGAATGGATAGAATATCGCCGGAGCTGCCAGAAAGCACAATGATTATTAATGAAGATGTGTGCAATTTAAGTCAGAATCTAATTAGTATGCTGAATTACAACTAAGTCAAAAAGCCAATTTAATACCTGCATATGCGTTGAAGGCCCAGCGACCGGGAACGCCTACATTAGTTGTGCTCTTGAGGTTTTGGTAGTTGGTAATTGAATCAGGAATCACAAACTTGTATGTGGACTTTATTGTGTCGTATCCAGCCTATAAATCCAAATGCTATTAATACACACAGAGCTGATGCAGAAAATATATGATTGTATTTTACATTCTGTGACGTCTTTACCTCTGTTCCTTCAAATAACACCGCACAGTCACCATAATTGAACAGAAAAAAGGTGCCACCACTGCCTGAAATTAAAACTGCTTGAAACAGAATTTGCTAAAACAAGAGAAGAAAAAACATCATGATTCACAGCCTATATGGTCTGTGCCATTGATTTATTTATTTTTTTTAAATAAACAACTTTTACCGGGTTTGGCTGAGAGGCATAATTCCAAGTGACAACAAAGACCCAAGAAGCTTGGAAGTTTGTTGTAGAGAAATGCTGGTTTACATCCTGACTAGCGCGGACGAGCATATTTAAATCTGTGTACTGCTGAAATGAAATCATCCCAAGGTAATAGTCATCATAGTCATTCCAGAGCGGAGCAATGAAATCATCAGTTCCTATGAAGGGGTTAGCGTCAGGCATTATCTCTGGAGATAGCGTGAATGCAAGGAGTCCATTATAAAGAACCTGTAATATGAGAACATAACTTATATCTTGCAATAACCACAATCTGGCTCATCACTGCATTTGCGTTCAGCTTTTAGATAGGCAATGGAACTGAATTCTTACGTATAAGCTGTTGTATGTGCGGCCAAAGAATGAAAATGGAGTCGAAAGAGTAACAAGATATTGGTTTATATCGTAATTAACGTTTAGTTCAGTGTCTCCTACAGCTGAGCCGAATGGATAGAATATTGCAGGAGCTGCAGAGAAGACAAGGACACAAGTCGCAACAATTAAGTAATTATTCTAATTATGAATGCAGTGTTAATTTGAAAGTCAGTAAATACCTGTCCATGGCTGTGCAGAGGTTGTTGCAACAACTGTTAAATAGAAAACATCAATAGATAAAATACTACTGTGAGATACACACAAGCATTGCACTCAATTCATTGGATGTTTTTTACAGTAACTTTCAACCGAAACAAACAAGCTTAAGACGTTTAATTGATCAAGAAATTGATTAAAAAAGATTTATTATTGTAATATTATGGCATGAAGTAAAGATACGTGGGCAAATGGCTCCACGCACAGTTAAACATGAACAGTAGTAGTGTAACGGATCACAAATGTCACAGATTGGATCTCATTATGGTTTTTCAGTTACGGATCAGACCATTTTTCGGATCAGCCAAAAAGGGGAGGAGGTAAATGTAATTTGCTTTCCATTTATTACAAAAACAGCACCACAAGACACTTTGGTTTTAACAAACAGAACTTAGAACCTGTAATTTTATAAAAAAATAAAATGAAAAAATAATCAGCTGAATAAAATTCACTGTTACTACTATGTTGCTGATAACACTAAATGTATCAATCTAACATTATACTTTTGTACAACCCATTTTTATTTTTAGTCTCATTTTCAAAAAATGATGCAGCTATTCACTTATAAAACTTCATGTTTCATTGCTGAGCATTTTTAAAGAACTATTCAGTGGCATATTTTTGACGGCCACCTATTGGTTAAATAATGTAATTGCTGCCTACAACTTTGAGCACAATGGTGATTTTAATCTTTACCATAAACATCAGTGGTTTTATCTAAACTATAAACTGTTCTCCCATTACTTCTGTGTTATTTGAATGTTTGTACTTCATAACTAATTCAAAAGACTAAAAACTGAATCTCTTTCTTGATTTTTGCAATTTTCAAACACAGATTTGAATTCAGCGATTCAAAGTATTAGTAAACATATGCAAATCACTATCGTTTATAATTTATGTTGTGTGGGTGTTGAGATCCTGATCTTTTAATGATTAATCATGGAGCTCACACTGAATGCATTAATGCAGGCTAAACAAGTAGTGACAGAAAACACCTCTAATAACACAAGAAACCCACCACATCTCGAATAACCTATAACAACTTCTTCATCATTATATTTTACAGGAAAGCCTAAAGGCTTTTACACATATGATATACAGTTAAAGTCAAAATTATTATCCTCTCTGAATTATTAGCCCCCCTGTTTATTTTTTCCCCAATTTCTGTTTAATGGAGAGCAGATTTTTTAAAACACATTTCTAAGCATAATAGTTTTAATAACCCATTTCTGATAACTGATTTATTTTTATCTTTGCCATGATGACAGTAAATAATATTTGACCTTATATTTTTCAAGACACTTCTATACAGCTTAAAGTGACATTTAAAGGTTTAACTAGGTTAATTAGGTTAACTAGGCAGGTTAGAGTAATTAGGCAAGTTTTTGTTTAAAGATTGTTTGTTCTGAAGACTATCGGGAAAAAAAATTAGCCTAAAAGGGCGAATAATTTATAATAATAATTAATTAATTAATAATAATTTTTAAAACTGCTTTTATTCTAGCCAAAATAAAACTTATAAGACTTTTTTCCAGAAAAAAAATAGTATCAGAAATGCTGTGAAAATTACCTTGCCCTGTTAAACAGAATTTGGGAAATATTAAAAAAGAAAAGAAAATATCAAAGGGGGCTAATAATTTTGACTTCAACTGTAAATGATGCAAGAGGTGATCTCTCTGCCATCGTAACAAATTTAGGATTAATCTATGAGTAGAAAAATGTATTATTCTGCAGGTCATGTGTGTTCCAAACCATTGGTTATGATCCATATGAATCATGGATCAACTGTGATCTGTTACACCCTTAATGAAAAGCCAACACAGCCAATGACCGACAAACAATGGCAGAAACACGGAGACTTATATACAGGGAGAACAATTGGCTAAGAAGAAAACAAGGGGCAGGAGAACAAATGTGGAGCCGGTGCAACAGAAAACCAGAAAAAATAAACCAGATAAGACAGTTCTGTGGAGTACACAAACATAGCACAGGTGTAGTTCATAACTCTTCTCTTTTCACCCTGATGATCCCTCGGTTACGGCTCGCATGTCAGCCTGCCTGTCAGACTTTTCACACTGGATGAGAAATCATCATCTTCAGCTTAACCTCACGAAAACGGAAATGCTTGAAGTTTCTGCCAACCCGACTCTACATCATAACTTTTCAATCCAGATGGACTGGGCAACCATTACTGCATCCAAAATGGTGAAAAGCCTTGGAGTAATGATTGATGACCAACTAAATTTCTCCGACCACATTTCTAGAACTGCTCGATCTTGTAGATTCGCACTCTATAACATCAGAAAGATCCGACCCTTCTTATCTGAACATGCAGCTCAACTCCTTGTTCAAGCTCTTGTTCTCTCCAAACTGGACTATTGCAACTCTCTACTAGCCGGGCTCCCAGCTAACTCTATCAAACTTCTTCAGCTGCTTCAGAACGCAGCAGGAGTGGTCTTTAATAACCCTAAAAGAGCACATGTCACTCCGCTGCTCCCCCGTTTGCACTGGCTGCCAGTTGCTGCTCGCATCAAATTCAAAGCTCTGATGTTTGCTGACAAAGCGATTTCTGGCTGCTCTCCTTCTTATCTGCTCTCACTTCTGCAGATTTATAGGCCCTCCAGAAACTTGTGTTCTGTGAATGAACGTCGCCTCGTGGTTCCATCCCAAAGAGGGAAGAAATCACTTTCCTAAACTCTCGCATTCAATCTGCCCAGTTGGTGGAATGAACTTCCTAACTGCATCAGAACGGCAGAGTCACTCGCTGTCTTCAAGAAACGACTAAAAACTCAACTATTCAGTCTCCACCTTTCTTCCTAATCTGCAATTGCCTCTCTGGCTCCTCCACTAACTACAAAAAAAAAAAAAAAAAAAATAATAATAATAATAAAAAAAACTAATGTTTTGCTTCTTAAACTTCCTTTACATACCTGAAACGTCCCTACAGCACTCATTCATTGTTGCTCTTATAGTTGTGTAAATTGCTTCCTTGTCCTCATTTGTAAGTCGATTTGGATAAAAGCGTCTGCTAAATGACTAAATGTAAATGTACAGTAACTGCATTATTACCTGGTGGAACTGTGGTGGTTGGCAATGGGGTGTTTTCTGAAAAAAAAAAAATGAAAACAGCAATTAATAATTCTTGAGAGAACTTAACGAGTGCAGGTTTTATTCTGCAAATTCACCTAAAAATAAAGAAGCAGCAACATCAAAACCATGAAAACAATAAAGATAAACTAGTTTTATTATTGTAATGTTAGGGCATGAAGTAAAGATGCAGTTAAATATGTTTTAAATATAGACACGAGAAACAGAGAGGGTCCAGCACAAGAACAAGAACACAGAAACATGAACGGCTAACAAAATTAATCACCGACAAACAATGGCAGAAACATTGGGACTTATACAGGGAGAACAACAGGCTAAGAAGAAAACAAGGCACCAGATAACAGGTGGAGCCAGCGAGACAGAAAACCAGAAAATAAACCGAATAAAACACTTCTGTGAAGTACACAAAAACATAGCACAGGTGTCATACAGAAATCACAGCGTTATTACCTGTTGGAACTGTGGTGGTTGGCAATAGGGTGCTGTCTGAAATAAAGACCAAAAATGAAAACAGCAATTAGTAATTCTTGAGAAATGGGGATGGGGTGTGCGCGCAAACTGAAGACCGGGTGGGGAAGGTATGGGTGAACTGAAGAGCAGGGAGCGGGTATGAAGATGGTTGCGTGTTGGGTTCGGTGCACATGGGGACTGAACCAAATAGCTAGCCAGACTGTACCAAAAAGCAGTTTGGGGGGGGCCCTGTTGAATTCCAGGAGTTTTTCGGGAGACTGAACAAAACGGGAAATGTAGAGCAGGGCTCATCAATCTTGGTCCTGGAGGGTCAGTGTCCCTGCAGGGTTTAGCTTCAACTTGCTTCAACACTCCTGCCTGTGTGTTTCAAGTATACCTAGTAAGACCTTGATTATCTTGTTCAGGTGTGTTTGATTAGGGTTGGAGCTAAAATCTGCAGGACACTGGCCCTCCAGGAACAAGTTTGGTGACCCCTGATGTAGAGACAGAAATGACATGTCATTGTATAAATAAGATAATACATACGGCTATTTAGCTCGTTTAATAAAATGTTGTGATCTGGCGCTATATAGAAAATACAATTAACTTGACTTCAAGGAGGGCGGGGAAAGCTGTTGGGAGGGCGGGGCGCCCCCTAATATAATGGTAGGGGAAACATTGGGGACTTATATACAGGGTGAACAATGGGCTAACAAGGGACTAGAAAACAAAGGTGGAGCCAGCAGTGGCAAGACAGCAATCCATACAAGAAACCAGATAAAAATAAAAAAAATTCTTCTGTGAAGTATACAAGCACAGCGGTCATTCAGAAATCACTGCATTATTACCTGGTGGAACTGTGCTGGTTGGCAATGGGGTGTTTTCTGAAATATTGAACAAAAATTAAAACGGCAATTAGTAATTCATTAAACTTACTTTATGCATTTTTATTTCCAATAACTTTCATTAAAATTAATAAGCCTTGACATTAAAATGATCAAGAAATGTATCATCACTCATGAGTAAAAGCCCTTCGTTGAGTTTTTGAACACAATGGACTATTGGAGGTTTTAGGCATGCAAATTGGACATGTTAAATTATTGCATTAAAGCATGAACATGAATATTGTTAAATACCCCACATGAACACAAATGTTCGCTATTCCACTAAAAACAGAACATTTGAATAGAAACAAAACCTTGTCCATATTAAGAAAGAAAGAAGAAGCCAGTTCCCTTGTTAAGCTTCCATAATTTGCTACTTGTAAATTCACTTCATGACTACAGTATTTTTTTTCTCCTATATGTTACTACAGAAACAAACAAGCATGGGTATCGAATCGAATTAATTATGATATAAACATAATATATCTTTATTATCATTGATAGATACGTGCCCTTCAGGTCAGTCCAGACCATCAGATGTCTTAGTCGTGAAAATGGGACTTTACTAAATGAAGACCTGCTGAGTCAATGCTGGTCATTTCTGAAAGTATGAACACAGTGGTGTAACTGCAAACAGCCTGTATTTATATTATTTGTGTCACTGCCCACATTGCAAGCAGCCCCTAGTGACGAAGTGACTATATTAATGGAAATAGAAATATTTATAATAGAATATAACTGCTGCCCTTGGACTTTTCACAGCAGTGAATAAATACATAGATTTGCATACAGTAGACCGCTTGTGCACTTTTATGGACTAATGGTAGACCTTTGTCAAGAATTTCTGCAGGTTCAGGATTCTTGAGTGTTTATATCTGTACAGACACTAATAAATATCCATGATTGGACATTTCGTTCTTGTTTTGGTTTGACAGTTGGTTTTCTACCGTCCTTGTCATGTCCTTGTCATTTATAAGGTTTGTGCAGAACATGCACTTGTCTTTAATTAGTCTTTCAGGTCTGTTATGGTGCATGCCTTCATCTGTCTCTGTCAAGGTTTTGTCATGTCATGCTCTCGCTCTCACGCTCACTCTTTCTCTCTTTCTCACTTGCTCTTACAGTCTCTCTCTTGCTTCTGCCGTATTTTTCTAATGGTCAAGTAGTTAATTACAATTCAAATGCAGTACCTACTGAGCAGTAGGCAATTTCGAGAGAGGGGTCTGGCTGCAGACTCGGTGCAGATGCAATCTGAGCTGCATCCAATGCTTTATAATGTCGATGCTGTTTTTCAGTCTTCATAAAGCACATAAACACTGTTATTTTCTTCATAAAATCCATGTTAGCCATTTAGCTACGAAGCTAGAGTCACCGGGCAGACCCTGCCCATCACGCGAATCCGCGTCTGTTCTGAAGTGAATTTGATGCACGAATGAAGCGTTTTTTTCAAATATTCACGCGGCAATTTACGTGCAAATAGCGCAATTTATCCGCACGTTCCGCATCTGTTGTGAACACAGCAAGACACATCATTTTACAGAAGGACTTATTTTAAACAATCAAATGAAGCCGAGTTAAAATATCATTATATCCTGGTATTTGCATGTGCTTTCAGGTTTAAAATTAGCAACATTTACTACAAAGGGCCGTAGTTCACAGAATGATTATTGGATTATCGATGCGTCATTTTGCATTTGGCAGAGCACTTTGTGTAATAAATTCTGCTCCAGCTGAACATGCATGTTGGAGATTCACCGCTGATTACACAATCGGCTTTATAGACAATCACATACAAACTGTTCCACCTGCAGTTGAAATGTATTAAATATTGACACAAAAGAAACACAGAGAGTCAAGGACAGGAACGGTAAACGTCTAGAACAGTCAAATAATTTGTATTGTATTGTATTTAATACCTGATGGATATGTGGTGGTTGTCATTGTGGTGGTTGCTGAAAGAATAATAAAACACATTGTTAGTCACTGTGTCAATTCAGTGAAAGTTTACTGTAAAGTAACACTTACAACACGTTTCCTAGTCTTGTTTTCCCGTGTTTTGACCCTAGCCTTGTTAGCCCTGTTGTCTTAGTCTGCCGCCAATTCTGACCACTCGCCTGATCCTTTGACTACGATTCTGGACTTCCCTTGTATGTCTGTTTGCACCTGTATTGACCATTGCTTGCCTGACCACTGATTAAACCTGCACGTGGATCCTACCTCTGTTTTTTGTGTCACTCCTCGGGTTACACTAGTAAAACTCTTTGGATGTTTTTTTCTGTAATGTACTTTATTGTAGCACACTAAAAATTTATTTAAGTAGGTATTTAGTATACTTTTGTCAAGTGTACTAAAGTCCTACTGAAGTATAAACATACTTTTAATTAGTATATTTATAGTGTAAAACCATCAAACTTTTATTTAACACAAAAAAATAACAATGTACTAAAAATCTATTTGCGGGTATTTAAGTTTATTTTAATTGCATGTAATTCTATATTTTTTTCACCTGGGTTAACACATTAGCTTCAACTGTTTCAGTGTTTCATAAAGCCTCGCTCTGCCCATCACTACTTATAGCAAGCAGTAAATTATTTGGTTGCATCAGAAAACAAATGCTGAAGGGCACACAGTAAAAAATGGGACAAGCTATAAAGCAATACCTGCTAAGTCAGGGGTGGTAGTTTCTGAAAACATAAACACAAATACTATTAGTTCCCATGTACTCATTTAACATATGTTAACATATTAATGTTAAAAAAGCATGTATTAAAAACACATTCGTTTATGAATTATATTTGAATGTCTAGGGACAAATTAGTCATCATTAAAACAGAAGTTGCAATTGTTTTTTTTTTAAGTGAAACAAATGTAGGGCAGAGCTTGATTTTATCTATTGGGAATTGACAGGCTTCCCCATCCTGTCGCCTAAACAAATCATTGGAAAATTAAATATGGATGGAAGGAAAGTCATACTGATTTCAGGAGCAGAATATATTTTTCAAAGAATGATGTGATAAATGCTCAGATAAATCATTCATACTAAACATTGCAGTATTGCCAAAAAACAAACAAACAAAAAACTAAACAAATCGATAGTATTTCATGACTTCTCGCTATCTAACTGAGGTGGCATGAAAGACAAATTCCTCATCAGGAAAAACCAGAGAATCCAGTAATGATGTGTGATAAAAGATTGAAGAACTGCACAAATCAGGATTGAGCTTAAGAGAATAGTTTACCAGTCAAAGTGCCTATATAAAACTGTTAATTGTTTAACTGTAGATTTTTACACTTATTGCATGGTAAGTGAAGATGATGGTTTTTAAAAGAAAGAAGAGATTGTGAGGATTTGTGATCTGTTACCTGGCAATGTTGTTTGAAAAGGAGTTGGTTGTTGGTTGGCTGTTCAAGAGAAACAGATGACATTACATTTTGAAGCGTATACATGTGTTTGTTTTCATTGTATTTGCTACATAATCAAAGAGATCCTCTAAAGAAAGACATACTCAGTGGCAGGACTGATATAAACAGCAGCAAATGCTGTAAAACCAGAGATAACTTCATGTTGATGAAGTCAGAGATGATAACAGCACATGTAGAAGTCCTTTTGCTGTAAACAGAGAGAGAGCTGTATTACTTTTTTTTTTTTTTACCTCCAAAGGGCTTAGTGGCCACATGTGGACAGCACATTTTAGCTCTTATGTTTTATATTTTGTTTCAGCCATACAGTGTTATCCTGCAACTGTTTTGCGGCATATGAAATGTTCCAAACACTATTTTAACTGTCCAAAATAAGCAAAAAATGTGTTTACTGATAGTCAAAACATGTTTAAAAAGTATGTATGTATGTGTTATTAATGGAAAAACTGCTGTGTTCAAGGCAGAAATATAGAGTTTTTCATTCTATTACACAAAGGGGACTTTATTGTGTTTTATGGGAATTCGGACCATGAGTCCACATAAATGGACGTCATTTTTTTCTAAAAGTACATCATATCAAAAGTTAATACTTAGGTTTTATCCTAATTAGGTTCCAATAAGCCCAAATAGCAAAGAGAAATAAAAAATGCATGTAAAAAAACAGCTTGGGCCTTAAGAGGTTAACAGCAACAACAACTGTATTTATAATTGTATAATGTAACCAACCATTATATATACTTTTAAAAAGTTGAGAGAATGAAATCATACTTTTCCAACTCTGAAGTTCCACTTTGTTTTAGTTTTAACTGTTGTATAGTTTTTATTTCTTTTGGTTTGGCTGCAATAAAATCATTTTTTTTAAATGTTAACTTTTTTTTAAATTATTTATTTTTAAGAAATCACTGTTGTCCTATAACTTGCCTAATTATCCCAACTTGCCTAGTTAACATAATATCATCAAGTCTTCAAATTTCAGCTGACTACTAGTATTTTGCAAAATAAGTAGAACAATATTACGAGCTGTCATCATGGCAAAAACATTTTTTAATAGTTTTAACTTATATTTATTTATAAAAATTATTATGTTTAAAAATGTGTTGTCTCAAAAATATTGTCTCAGTTAAGCAACACTTAAAAATATATTAAAAAGAAATAAAATTTGATGAATTAACTTGTTCCCCAGTGTAATCAGTTAGCAAATACAGTGCACTTTTTTGTTTCTACTGATTGATATATCAGCTATATACTGATATGGAATATATATATATATATATATATATATATATATATATTCTGTTTAACAGAGATTTTTCCAACACGTTTCTAAACATAATAATTTTAATAACTCATCTGCATTAACTGATTTATTTTATCTTTGCCATGATGACAGTAAAAAAATATTTGACTAGATACTTTTCAAGACACTTCTATACAGCTTAAAGTAACATTTAATGACTTAACTAGGTTAATTAGGTGAACTAGGTAGGTTATGGTAATTAGGCAAGTTATTGTATAATGATGGTTTGTTCTGTAAAAATTTTGACCTTAAAACGGTTTTAAAAAAACTAAAAACTACTTTTATTGTAGCCGAAATAAAACAAATTATAATAATTCTGACTTCAACTGTGTGTGTGTATGTATGTATGTATGTATGTATGTATGTATATATATATATATATATATATATATATATATATATATATATATATATATATATATATATATATATATATATGTATACACACACAGTAGAAATAAGCACAAGTAATGATAATGTTTTACCCACCTCTGACAGCTTCATCCAACAGGCTCACCTACAGTGGTGTAGCAGGAAGTATGTTTGGTTTATATACTGTACGCCCCAGCGCCGGGGTTGCATCTAAAATGTAAGAAAATATGTCACTTTCATTGGAACAGCGCCAATAGCTCTAACAGAAAATCTGAAGCAAAAGTCTTTCCCTACAGACATCACATGACTTTTAGATGAATTACAATATAAAGTAAATATGTGAACAGTGTTCTTGTGCTGCAGTTTCTAGCTAAAGTGACAGCTGATTTATTACACACTTTAAATAGATTCTTTCTGTTTCTACAAAAAAGGCTAAATCTAATTTTATCCAGTTGATCGGGTGGTATTACAGTCTGTCAGAGCAGCAAGGCAAATAGTTTTATTTACTTCTGATATCACAAATCCTAGAGCTGATATTTCTGTAAGCACTGAATTGTTGTTGACAGAAGGCAGCACTTGTGCTTTCTAGAGAAAGACTTGCTCATGACTTGGTGTTTTTAGGTTTTTTTTATCGATTGTGATCTACATTCTGTACTTTGTTCATGAATCGGTCTGTCAGCTATTCTGATTTTCCAGTTTTCAGTTCTTGGAGGAACATTACATTCCAGTGATGGGAAACAACAAGGTGCATTCCAGTAAATGTGAGTATAAAAGCCCTGATACTGTTCAAGATCTACAACCATTTTCAAACCATTATCTGTTTTTATATCGCCATTGCAGATAATGTTAATGCAGAAATCACAAGTGCATTGATACCACTCTCTGCAATGTAAGCTTACCTTATTGTTTCCCATGACTGCAATGTTATGTTGTGTCAAAGACTGAAAACAGGTCTTTCCTTAGAAAGCACAAAAGTTACTTGGTGTCAACGACAATTCAGTGCTTACAGGAATACTTATCAGAGCTAAATAAAATAATAATCATCCTTACTGTTCTGACAGATTTTAGTGTCTCCAGATCAATTTGATGAAATTTGATTTGGCCTTTTTTAATGATAAAGAAAGAATCTGTTTGATGTGAGCAATCATTACACTGTCACTTCAGCTGAAACGGGAAAACAATAACATAATGGTGTCACTAAAAGTAAACCTGCAGCACATCTCTTTTTATACTGTACTTGATTATGAGCAGCTTTAATTTCATTGTATGAAGTTCATTGTATTAATTAATTTGTATTTTGTTTTAGTTTGGCTGGATTAAAAGCAGTTCATTTTTTAAGGTCAATTTTAAAGTCAATATTATTAGCCCCCACCCCAAGAAGCTTTTTTCTTTTCAGATTATCTACAGAACAAACCACTGTTATAATGTCTTGCCTAGTTAACATACAGTTGAAGTCAGAATTATTATGTATATTTTCTCCCCAATTTCTGCTTAACAGAGACCTTTTAACACATTTCTGAAAACAATAACTAATTTCTAATCAATGGTTTCTGTTCTGACAGACTTTAGTGTCACCAGATCAACTTGATAACATTTGATTTAGCCTTTTTTGAAGATACAGAAAGAGTCTGTTTGACATGAGCAATCATTACGCTGTGCCTTCAGCTGAAACGGGAAAACAATGACATAATGGTGTCACTAAAAGTAAACCTGCAGCACATTAACAGTCTCTTTTTATACTGTACTTGATTACAAAAAAGCAGCTTTAATTCCATTGTATGAAGTTCATTGCATTAATTAAGTTTTATTTTGTTTTAGTTTGGCTGGATTAAAAGCAGTTCATATTTTAAGGTCAATTTTAAAGACAATATTATTAGCCCCCACCCCAAGAAGCTTTTTTCTTTTCAGATTATCTACAGAACAAACCAATGTTATAATGTCTTGCCTAGTTAACATACAGTTGAAGTCAGAATTATTATGTATATCTTCTCCCCAATTTCTGTTTAACAGAGACCTTTTAACACATTTCTGAACACAATAACTAATTTCTAATAAATGGTTTCTGTTCTGACAGACTTTAGTGTCACCAGATCAACTTGATAACATTTGATTTAGCCTTTTTTGAAGATACAGAAAGAGTCTGTTTGACGAGCAATCATTACGCTGTCACTTCAGCTGAAACGGGAAAACAATGACATAATGGTGTCACTAAAAGTAATCCTGCAGCACATTAACAGTCTCTTTGTATACTGTACTTGATTACGAGCAGCTTTAATTTCATTGTATGAAATTCATTGTATTAATTAAGTTTTATTTTGTTTTAGTTTGGCTGGAATAAAAGCAGTTAATTTTCATAGTCAGTTTTAAGTCAATATTATTAGCCTATTATTAATGACTAATTTCTAATAAATAATTTCTGGTCTGACAGACTTTAGTGTCACCAGATCAACTTGATAACATTTGATTTAGCCTTTTTTGATGATACAGAAATAATCTGACATGAGCAATCATTACGCTGTGCCTTGAGCTAAAATGGAAATAGTAGTACTTGATTACAAAAAAAGTAGCTCAAAGTTCATTGTATTAATTTATTTGTAATCCATATACATATACTATTAGTGTACTTGTAAGTGCACTACTTGAATACTGTTTTGGACTAAATTGTCCAATTTTTAGTATATAAAAATGTACTTGTAAGTGAACTATAAGTAGATTGAGTTTTACATTTGTACTACAACTGAATAGAAATACTAAAAGTTGACTTTTGTAATTAGTTGGTGAAGGAAAGAAATGCTTATGTCTTATACTCAGGGCTCTGCATTTAACCCGGCCAACTGCACACACAGAAGTGAAAACCTTGTATAGTGACATTCCTCTGTATACACATTTCTGTTTTACTGGCAATGGCATTTCATGTTTTAAAGGGCACGCCAGGTGTTAAGACACATGGCTTAATACAACACAAATAATTCCACTTACTGAAATATGCAGAATATGGAAGCATGTAAGTAGCAAAACCAAAGGCATTCTGAACTGTAAAATGGCAATGCATTTCTGTAATTAAACTTGCATCTTGTACAGTATACAGTACATTATGTGTAAGTTTACTGCAAAATGAAAATATATTTGGTAAATGATAAATAGACCTTTGGCATTTCCATCCACAGTTTAAAAATGTAAATGACAAAGTGTTTAAAATCTGTAAAAAAAAACTGAAAACAAATTGATTGATGTTGAACATGTACAAGCAGAAATGGTGGCAAATTGAAGTTTATTTATAAACTAAATTTAAGAGGATCACGTGCTTATGATTAACCACGGCTGGTCCCGCATTACCTAACATATGCTTTACCAATCAAACGATTCCTACATCTCCAGAAATAATCAAAGCTTTATACAACAGTCGTCTTTGTTTTGAAGAATCCCCCTTCCACTACTACTCCTCCTCCTTTCCTAGATTGGGTTTCACGGCAGCCCACTGTTGCCTCACAGCAAGAATATCACTGGTTCTAGTCCTTACCAAGCCAGTCGTTTCTGTGCGAAGTTTACATGATCTCCTCGTGCTCTTGTGGGTTTCCCCCTCTTCCCCGGTTTCCTCCCACCATCCAAAAACATTCGACTTGAGTTAATTGACTAATCCAAATTGGCACCATAGATGTGCTCCTAGTGTAGGACTTTCTAGAATGTGTCACTATTGTTTATATGTGTTCATTTTTAGAGATAGATGTTATTATGTTTCAGAGTATTTGAAGAACAAATATAGGTTTGTATATTTGAATTGCACATTGGCACATTTATGTTGTATTTTCATAAATATCATAGTTCTGATAGATTATGGAGATGTGTATTACCGTTTCTAGCCGATAGGTTGTGTCTGTGTATAAATTAAGACGCAAGTTTCATTTTCATTCTCTCTCAGTCAGTTATTGTTCGGGGCCGGTATACGCTTGCCGGTTTATAACCTAGCTAGCTGCCAGATACTAGTTACTAGCTACTAACAACTGTCATTAAACAAGAAAGGACGTCGAAGTTTGACAGATAAGTGTAACGTTGGTACGGCTGTCTACTTTGTGGATGAACATTGTGTATGTGTACAGTGTACGCAATAAAAGTTCAGCAGTGACTCGAGTTGTATCCATCGTACTTGCCCTGAAACCCTTCCAGTGGGGCGTTTATTGAGGTAAAGTGAGTAACCTGATAAAAAACTGGACACCTAGCCAGCAGTTATCTCTTCATAACAATTTCCTAACTGCTCATTGCCTACAAACAGCAGGGAAGTTCATCAAGATCTACCTAAGCTTAAAGGTTCAGGACACCCTGGAGAACTTTTTTTTTTTTTTAAATTAACAGATTTGTGTGTGTTGAGCATCAGTTAAGACAATGTTAGCACCTGTCAGCTTTAATTGTGAAGAAAACTGGATAATTTTGAGCTTTTGTCAGCTAATTTCAGCTTCCGGGTTTAAAATGATTTTTGGGGCGGGATCAAATTTGGCGACGAAGCACAGTACTGCAAGTGCAATGATGACGCGTCGGTTTCTCATTATTATTCATCCGAGTTTTCTTATCCTATGAGAAGAGCCGGTGTCGTGAATTCCACTTCTTATCAACTAGAAATTATCAGACAGGAGGTTTTGAATATCAGAAAATAGACTTTATTCTCCATAATAAAGCCGAGAAAGAGCAGAGCAGACCCCAGAGCATTCTGAAGTCTCTCCTGGACACTTTCTAAAGTCTCTCCTGCTCCTTCTAAAGTATCTGTTTTCTCCATAATCTTTATACAGGTAATTATTACACACCCCTTTGTGTCTCTTTTTAACTCTTGACCATTTTTGAATAGGTTTTCTAGTCTAAGGGGTCCTGCTATTCTTGGCTCTCTGCCCACTAGCTCATGTCAACAGAGATGTTACAGGTCTATGTCAGCAAAGTATAGATGCAACTTATGCAAAGGAACTAAATGTTAACATACATTGTTATGATAGGATAATAACTTGATAATATGTTACTCATTCTAACTTCTGACACATATAGCTTCAATCAAGTATTTAACATATATAATCAGGGCTTTACATATTCAGTTATTCTACACAATCAGTCACTCAGCCTTTTCCTAGTGTTGCTCCTGTGCAGGCATACTCATCTTACACAGTATTTTTAACACACGCTGGCATGTTTGCTGCAAACACTACATACATTTTGAGAAGAGAAAATTAACTGCT